AAAAAAGAAGAAAGAAAAAGCCCACCATGAAATGAACTGTCTTGAAATGAAAATTCAGTTGTGTTCAGAAGCATGAGTCATTGAGTCTACCATATAGGCAGTGAGGACATGGAAACCCCCTGCAGCCAACTCAGCCATATACCTTTCTGAAATATTTCTGGGCCTCAGCAAGCAGGTGTTTAGACAGATACTAGTCCTTATACTTAAAGAAGCATGGAAATTATGGAAATTATCTCGTTCTCTCAGAGAAAAGGCTGGAAGAGGAAAGTAGATTTAGATCTGTACTTATCAGCAGTAATTGACCTCCATACAATGTAGCTGTTATTTAAATTAATATTTTTCCTTCTGTTTCTTCTTTTCCTGATTAACTCAGACATATGATTCTTTACATGAACCCTTAGGGGGTAGAGGTTGTTGCAAATTTGTAGTCAGTCTTCCACAGACCTAATGCTAGAGGTTCAATTTCTCAGTTCTGAAGAACTTTTGAATCTCCTGGCTGATTTTCACCTCTTTTTTTTCCTATTAAAGAAGCCACCACACTGTGAATTCATCCCTTATTAAGCTTCATAAAATTTGGCATTGGAGCTCAAGTCTGAGATAGGTACCAGCAAGAGTATGATTTCATGCATCAGGGAACCACTTTGTCACTTTCAGCAATGCTAGTTTTAAAACTAGCTTAATGTTAACACATTTATTTGAGTGAACTGCTCTAAATGATTTTTTCTCTTTTCCATCTGGAGCTATTCCTATCATTCGAGTCTATTTTCTAGTCTATTTATCTTTCTAGTCTATCTATCTAGTTTATTCTAGTCTATATTCTATAGGAATCTTTACTGTATTTTATTCTGAGGGGTAAAATGCCAACATCTGAATGAATGAATAGGGAGTTCTTTTGTTCCTTGAAATGAGAGCCAGCTCTCAGAATCAAGCATTATCAACACGTTTTTCTGGTTTGACCAACCTATTGCACTTCTTTTTAGGATCTTACCTGAACGTATATACTGACAATAGAGCTAACTTCCCCCCCACGCAAGTATTCTGAGATAATTCAAAGCATTTTAGCAACTCAAGTTGCTAGGTAACATTTCTAAATGTTAACAGCTTAAAACTCCACTGTGCCTTTGTAATTATGTCAGTTCATCACCATCAGTAACTATCAGACACTTCCCTTGATTGAATGTATTCAAAAATGCCACATTTTTATAGTACATTTTCCTATCCCTGAAATGGTGAAAACATTAGAAAAGGAGAAGAAAGCAAGCAGAACCAAGAACATTGTATAGTGAGTATTTCCTTGTTAAGCTTTACCCCATGACCTTCAAAGTTATTTAAATGGTGCTGATTATCAGTTCTGAGCAGCTAAGCATCAAAATACTTCATGCTGTCTTACTTTTCATCTGGTCAGAACTCATATTTGGATGGTCTTTCTACTAGGGTCAAGTACAAATGACTGCTCTAGCTCTTAGAAAGTGTGATCACATTGCAGAAAATGTTATTTGAAACAAGACTTAGCTGCTGTACATCATGAGATCAACAAATGATCCCTTAAGTGTGAGAATATGTAATACCTTCACCATCTGAAATAGATTAACTATGCTGCTAGTATTTGCTCTTCTTTCCTTACTCTGCCATTCCTAAGACAGTTTTCAAGGCATGAACAATCTATTTTAAACATGCTTTCAAATATAATTAAATAGAATAATAAATATAAGAAAGCACAGATAGAAGAAAATGTATCAGGCCTTATCTAAAATAAAGAGAAACATCTGTGTGGATACCTGTGACTAACCATTTAGCATAGCTGCAATATACTGCGTAGTACAGACTGAAAAGCAATGATCATGACTTGCATCTTTACTTTTTATCTAATCATAATTGCTATTAAGCCCTATTCTAATGATTTCATGCATCTTTGCTTCTTTTGAGATCACCATTGTCTTTGTAGCACAGAAGCATTGGAAAATATTCTGTAGTAACTTAAAATAAGACAAAATACATTAATGCTTGCACAATTGCACCTAAGCTTTATTCCAATTGCTGTGCTTCTGTATCACAAAGTTTAAAAAGCCTTATTAATTTGTCTTTGACAGATCTGAAGAAAGCTGACTGTAATTACTTTAAATTGAAACCTTCATCTTACTGCTTTTGCTGCTATAAACTTGTGTGGCTGTGCAAGGAAACAATGCCTAGCTCATCTTTCTTCCAGGGATAATACTAATTGTCCCTCTGGTATGTCTAAATCACAAAACATGTTGGAATATATATATTTTTTCTTTTCATTTAGGGAGCTGGATTTGAAGAGGCCAATCTATCAAAAAACAGCATGCTATGGGCACTTTGGGAGAGAAGAATTTACCTGGGAAATACCCAAAAAGCTTGTGTATTAAGCTTCTCAGGATGCTTCAGTTAATTGAGAGGTGGTTTAACAATCAGGTACAACTTCGAGCTGTCCATGTAAAGACTGCACCTACTCTTGTTTTAAAATGACACTGTGTAGCTAATAGATATACTAAGAAACATATGTATTCAAATTCTAACTTTCAACTTCAAATGCATGCAGCTCTATCCAACTCCATACTCCAGCTTTGTCTTTGATAACATGAACGATTTAGGCCTTTGGCGGCGATAAGAATTTAAGTGCACAGGGAACTCAAGTCAGTACAGTACTGCCAGGGAAGCTGGCTGCTGCTTACCTAGTTAACTTTGTGTTGAAGTGGGTGAGGTACCTTCAAATAGCCCTCTGCCAAAGGAAAACAGTAATAGATCTATTTGTCTTAACGCTTTGGGCAGTGACTTCTACGACTACCATTTCCTTTGGTCCAAGCAAGTTAGTAGAAACACTTGTTTCAGAACACGGTCATTGTAACTCTGGATGAAGTTAGATCTCAATTAGCGTTACATTTGCTTGGACCGTCGTAATTTTCTAACGAGCTTGTGTGTTGTAATTCTTGTACTCACTTATTGTTACTCCTTTAAAACTGCAGTTTTCTATGTCTGCAGTTGGATGATTTTGTTAAGTTTCATTGAGCCACTGAATGAAATGCGGAAGTTTTTTGTAAAAAAAAAATAAAATTGGAGGGCATTAGCTTCTTTTGAATTCTCTAGCTGAAAGCACAAATTGAAGAAAGAATTCAAAGTCATTCAGTTTTTCTTTAAGGACTGGAAAATATGTAAAGGCTTGTATACAGGAAGTAGCATTACATACCTAATCTCCAGAGCTTCTATCTAAATATTTTAGCAGATTATCTAATAACTATTTATGTGGGATAGCTAATTTGCCCAGTGTAAAGTTTTCCTCAAGAACAGTAAAAGATGTGTGCCTTGTTTAAAACAAGCGAGCAGAAAAAAAGCTACCTCTGCTAAGTTTTGTTCTGCTTAATACAGTACCAGAGATGAAGCAATTTCTCCACAAAATCAATGAACATCTTTTCAAATATTCTCATTATCATTCTAGAAATGAATTACTTAAACTGTGGCTTCAGAAATGAAAAATAATGTCCAGAGCAGACATGAACAGCAAGACTGCTGAAAATTTAGCTAAATTAAAATGTTGCTTATGTAGAGGGCTCAATCAAAATATTTTTATTTCCAAATGTTGCAAGTGCTGCTTTATTATACATGTTAATTTAATGTCAAATAAGCAGGCTCTTCTTTGAAATGCATGGCTACAATATATTATGTAAATCTCTCAAAATACAGTGGCTCATAATCTATGTAAGAAATAAACTATAAGCACACACAAGAGTGAAACAATTAACAGTTTATGCATTGTATTTTGTGACTTCATCCAGAGTAGCAAGCTGTATGGATATTCTGATAATAAAGTTACACGAATGAAAAAAACGTGTTACTGTAAAATTATTTGAGAATAACATAAAGTATAACATGTATAACATGTATAACATGCTGTTCTATGGAAAAAATAAGTCAAATAATGAATTTAGATGTGAACTTCCAAAATTTAATGGTTCTCATGAGGGTCCGTGAGGCAGAATTAAACCTAAAGCTTTCAAAAGGGCATAGTTTCACTCAAACTTAGACAAGCCAATTAGAGAACAAGACAGAAGTGCCAACTCAGCTATGAAAGTGCCTGTCTTTCTCATCTCAGAAGAGATGAAGTGTCTCTGCAGGCGAAATGAAGACATTAATACTAAGAAAGGTCAAAACCTGTTCTGTTTGCTTTGTGTCAGAATTAGCTTAATGACTCAAGCTTTCAGAGTTTTTCACGAGAGCTGCTGCATCAAAAAACACAAACATTGTAGAAGTATTTAATCTTCCTTCTAAGATGTACTTCTGAAATTTATTTTCAGCTGAGCTGAGCCTAATAAATTTTATCTAGGGCCATGCAGACATTATGTATCTCATTTTGCTATCTCTATTTCTTTTAAATGCTACAGAAAGATGCAAAATGGAATGCTTATTCATTACTCTTTAATTCATTTCATTCCTAATGAGCTGAAAGCAATTACTGATACGGCAATAAAAGTGCATATCATTACTAAATGCTAGTAAACAGAAGGAACTTGTCATTTAATAATACCTCAATTTATAGCTCTCCACTGCCTCGACCTAATGATACAAAGGGAAATTTCTTCTTTACTACCTTCCCCATCCAAGACTGGTCTAAATCCAAGACTTAGTCTAAATACTCTTGGCTTCTTTTGGGCGAGGCTATAGAAGGAAGAGAGGTGGATGAGAGTAAAAATAGGAAGACAAGGGCATAACTTTCTCATCAGGATCTCAACAATCCTGCAGCATTCCGTTCTGTATCTCAGAACTGGGATGCAAGTTAGCAAAAGGTGGCACAGCCTTGTTTTCTTCTGCTTTCCAGGATGCCAACATAAAAACAGACAGGCCTTAATACCTTTATTAACTTTAAAGGAAACATCCAGAAGACTCTCAAGATGTGTAAATAACAAATAAAATGTTAATCTTTTTGGCCAAGTACTGTTAAAATTGAAGTATTATACATTATTAAAAAAACCCAACATCTCAGCTTCATTACTGCAGAGACTTTCAAACAGTTGCACATATTCCAAACCTCTATCCTACTTAGTGGTCTGCTTGACAACTCAAGTGAATAGAGAGATGGGAAGTGAGATATTACACTGTCCTTCTTTCCAACTTTTGTCCAGGAAAATCTTATCTAAATCAAACCTCTCCTAGCATATTTGTAGTAGATGGGGCTGTGAAATCTATCCTGACTTTTCCAAGTGTAGCATTCTTGCTTCTTATCCTACTTTTTTTTTTTTTCCCCTTATAATTCCTTCTCATGCAAAATGGTTACTTTCCTGCAATCTTTCTCATAACAAACTCCCAATGTAATCTGTCATGTAATGTAGATGTCACGTTTAGTGCCTGTTTGCATGCAATTTTTTCACTGAAATTTTGAGATGGTTACCCCTTGTGCCAAGATCCTTTCTCAATAACCACATCAAATGACTTTTCTAAATGATGTAGTACAAAATGAAAGTTTAAATAAAATCAATTTGATTTAATTTTATTTGCTATTTTTTATACTTCAAAGATGCACATACATACTGACAGGGGACCAAGACTTAGGCAAGATTCTAAGGGCATTTCAAACAGCCATAAGCCTGTACTGCTGCTGAAAGAAATACGTCTGCTGTCTCGTCATGCTCAGTGGTTTCTTCAAGCTTTTTACCTGTGTCTTTTGTGCTGGGGTAAACATGACACTTAGTAGAGAATCCATCAGGAACTGTTAAAGAGAGTTGGCAGGAGAAGAAAATAGAAAGGAGGTCACTGTAACCTGGGTCATTCAGTCTGTTACTGAAGATAAGGAAGAAGTCTCGATTTTCATTTAAGCTAAAGTCTAAATTCCAGTTGTTTTCTGTTCCCTTTTTGATGCAGTTCTTCTTCTAGGAATAAGAAAGGTGCTAACAAAATTCAAACCTTCATGTGCAGAAGAATTGAGTCTCAGGCTCCTTACAAAAATCCTGTTCCTTTTCCAGTGGTGACCTTGTGTGAATGATTCTTAAAGGAGGAATGTGCAGATTAAGTTAGGACAAGGGCAAAATGAGTTGAATGGCATGGTGTAGTAAGCCTATCTAATAGTGTCTTCTGGTCCCAAATAATTCCAGCCCTTGCCTGAAAAAAAGATCTGGAGAAGTCAGGAACAAAAACAGACTGAAGGTAAAATGCTCCTGATGTGAATACAGAGTCTGCTGTTCTCGAAGAGCTGATAGTGGTATAATTTATGACAGTAGAATACATTGTTTTCCTAGAGGTCGAACCAAAAACAGCAGCTGACTTCTGTTGCAAATAGGAGGAAGTTCTCCATCTAATCCAACGTTAATAAACATTATTTTTTCTTTGGTAAAAGATAAAAAGCATTGTAATCTCACCCGCTACTATTTAAGACCACACTTCTTGATTACTAAGGCATTACAGCTCAGTGAAGGAAGCACAGAATTACAGCCATGCAAGAGCAAGAGCAAGTTAAAGGCATGGAGCTGCATGGGGGAATGTTGGGCCAGAGGGCGGTGGGCGTGGAACGGGATGCACAGGGCGGTGGGCACGGCCCCGAGCTCAGTGCGTTCAAAGGGCATTTGGACACCGCTCTCAGATGTAAGGTTTGAGTTTTGGGTGGTGCTGCGGGGAGCCGGGGGCTGGAAACAGTGGTCATTGCATGTTGGGTTGTTCTATCGTTCTATGATTCCTACGTGAAGAACAGTGAGTCAGTTTGTGGAGGCTGACTGAGAAACACCACTTTATTACTCATCGTCAGCGCGGGAGAGAACCAGCACGGCTATCTGAGCCCTCAAGGAACTTGATGACGACTGTGACTGCATCAGTGATGGCTGTCAGGCAGCAGACAGGAAGTGAGGACAGGACTTTCGGAAGAGACATTCTGGCTTCCAGCGCTCCTCCCACTAGCGAGCCGCCTCACAGCAGCGACGCGCTAAGCCCACCTGCACACCTCAAACCCAACCGCCGCCGGCAGGCCGGCAAAGCGAACTCCACTGGGGGGCGTGGCTTCCGCAGAATGGGCGTGGCTTCTGCAAAAGGGGCGTGGCTTCCAGGGAGGGGGCGTGTCCGACCGCACGGCGCGCCGGGCCGAGGGGCGGCAGGAGGGAGGTGGCGGCGTGAGGTCAAAAGTGACGTAGCGATCCCGGAAGCAGACCGGAGTGGAGGATACGGTGGCTGAGGAGGTCGTCCCCCGCCGCGGTCGGTAGCTCGGCGGAGCCCCCCGCACTCACCTCTCTCCTCCCTCCTCCCTCTCCCCCGGTGCCGCCGGGCAGCGCGCGGCCGAAGCCAGGCGGAGCCATGTCGCTTCTCCAGTCCGCCCTGGACTTTCTGGCGGGCCCCGGAACCCTGGGGGCCGCCAGCCGCGATCAGAACGACTTCGTGGGGCAGACGGTGGAGATGGGCGAGATGAAGCTGCGCATCAGGCGGGTCATCGCGGAGGGTAAGCGCGGGACGCGATGGCGGCGGCCGGGCGGGGCCGCGCTGCGCTGCGGGAGGCCTTCCCGCGGGCCGAGCCCCCAGCTGCGGGGCCGGCCTCGGGCGGGCGGTGCTCGGCAGCGGCTGGCTGGGGCGGGGGCTGCCGCTGCCGTCGCCGTTTCCTCGTGTCCCCGTGGAGCCAGCGGGGCCCGTGGGAGTTCCTTGTCACGGGACTGGAGTTAAAGCGCAGGACTTGAGCTGGAAAGGACGCACGGGGATCAGCACCGTCGACTCTCGGCTCCACGCTGCACCACCCGAAATCCAACCCTGTGTCTGAGAGTGGTGTCCAGATGCTCCCTGAGCTCCAGCAGCTCGGGGCCGTGCCCACTGCCCTGTGCAGCCTGTTCCATGCCCACGGCCCTCTGGTGCAGACCCTTTCCCTCACCGCCACCTGACCCTCCCCTGGCAGGGGGGATGCAGTTGAGCAGGCTGCTCAGTGGGGTGGTGGAGTCGTTATCTGTGGAGGTGTTCAAGAATCACACGGAATCACAGCATGGCCCAGGTTGAAAGGGACCTCAAAGATCGGGAATCTCCAACCCCCCGCCACAGGCAGGGCCACCAACCTCCACACAGAACACCAGACCAGGCTGCCCGAGGCCCCTCCAACCTGGCTTTGAACACCTCCAGGGACGGGGCATCCGCAACTTCTCTGGGCAGCCTGTTCCAGCACTCACTGCTCTCAGAGTAAAGAGCTTCCCCCTGAATGATCCTTAGGGATATGGTGTGGTGGCCCGCAATGGTGGTTGGTGGACAGCTGGGCTAGATAATCTTGAAGGTCCTTTCCAACCTTGATGATTCCATAACTTTGTGCTTGTAAAACTGCATTAGTGATTTCTGACCAGCTGGTTGGCCTCAAAGACCAGTGTGTTATTGAAGTGTTAAATGTGAGGTTTCAGTAATCTTTGCTACGTAGAACGCAGGACACATCGCTTAGGACCCTGCGGTTAGAGAGGAAATGAAAGCATATAACTTCTGAAAGAAAGAATTTCTGCAGTCAAAAGTGGAAGGCTTGGAATTTCCTTGGATGCAGATGTCTCAACTATCTCAAGGTTTTACCAACAAGGAGAGAGTAGAAGTACAGAAAAGTCTCCAGACACAACTACCTCACGCTGGGCTTCTTTGGGGCAATTTTCACTTTCAGTGAAGATTTTTGGATAGACATTATAGCACACTGCTTGGTAGCCTATTTTGAAGTAGGTGCAGCATTTGGTGTGTGTGCACGTGCTAATTAGATTTTAGTAGAAATTAGGATTGTGTGCTTATTTTCAGAGGAATTTTTTTTATTTTCAACCAGAAGGAATGTCTTGAGATGAAAAATGGGAAATCTGTTATTGTTTATACATAATTCATGAACTTTGCACTTTATGTTGCTGTTTTTTTTAGGCTAACATCCCAAAATTCTATTCAGAGCTTCTTTTGATTGTTGAAATTACTTTCTATAGCTATCTCTTGACATTGTCTTGTATGGAAGTAATTTTATAGATAGATATACTATTTGTTCTAACTTAGTTTTCCTAGAATCTCATAGTGACCAGTCTGAAAGAAAACTGTGCTCGTTTAAGATTAGTTTCTGCAGTTGAACTCAGAAAAAAACTTGCTCCATAGAACAGGACATCAGTTTTCACTGCTGTTTTATCTCCCTAAAAGGCAAAGCAAGTATTGCTTTAGCTCTCAGTCACTTTTGGGAAGCGATGTCAGGCAAAAACTCACAGATTCATCTGAAAGAAGGTGATCTTAGATGGTGGGCAGCATGTGAAACATAAATGTTGGCCCTATTCTGCCATCAGCCCTTATTTACAGCTTCTTTTCAAAACATACTGTCAAAATTGTGAGTGCAATGTAAGCAATCAATATTATGTTACTGTAGCGTGAACGCTGAACTAACTGGCTGTTGCTGCTAATAACCTGATGTTCCAGTGTGGACTAATCAAAACAATTTCCAGGGAACAGCAAAGAAAATGCTGGCCAGACAGGTACTGTCAAGAGAAATATTTATTCTTGGTTCTGAAGCAAGTATTTCATACTTGAGCAGCAGCTTGCCTTCTAAAATGTCAGAGTAGGGATGCCAGTTAGACGATTTCAAGCATATAGAGATGTGCTTTAAGTCTAACCCTCATAACATGCGTTACTTGTCACCACAGTTTCTGTTGTTCCTTGTTTGCCTTGGTCTTACACGTTTTACTTTCCCTTTCACTGACTGAAACCACTCCTAACAGCTTGTGTATGCTAAGAGTTAAGGCTTTCTACCCAATACGGTGATGCTAAAGCAATCTATCTTTTGGTATATTCAGTATTCATGCAACTTCAGATTGCAGTAGTGAACCTGTGCTGACACCTGTAAGTCTTGTGGGGACAATTTGTGGAGTAGATGTTGCAAGAATCTTGCTTTGTTAATCACTTTCTCAAAACAAACAGCCAGCAAAAACCAACATAAAAACAAAGAAAGAAAACCCATTGTGCACAAAAAACTCAATGATTTTTCAGTAGGAAACTTACATGTGGTAGTCTAAATGTTTTATCTGCTGTTTTTAGAGTTAGATCAGGAATGTTTGTGTATTAGATTTAGTATGATTTGTTGCAGAAATTCAACTTTTCATCTTGCCCTGAGCCTTGTGCTTGATGATTTCTCAGAAATGCATATCTGTGGCTTAAGAGCAGCCCCTCCAGTGTTTAACATATTGAAAATCTTTTTCTTTTAAATGAGTTTTCATGGCAGATTCCATAGCGGAAATTCAAGTGGGGCTTTCAGAATTTACATTTCAAATCTGTGGTGAAATGTATCTGAATAAGAAATGCGTGGAGATGACCTTATCTGTAAGGCAGTACAATTTCCTTTGCTTTTAGTTGGTGTGAGTGCAGTCTGTGGGTTAGCATTATGGAATACGATGTGGCAGGGGTTAATTTGACTGTTCTTGCACCCTGCAGCTCTTTCCAGCTCAGTATTGTGTTGCCTGTCTGCATTAGTGTAAATATATGTGCGCCTGCACTGCGAACCAAGACACTAGTTATGCAGTGCATGTAAGTGTGTTTCCCTCTTTGTTATGCACAAATGCCGCAGCAGGAGTAGGACTGAGCTCATGGTATGTGCAGCCACAGCTTCTCTGGGCAGCCTGTGCCACTGCCTCGCTGCCTTGTGAGTTGAAGCTTCTGCTTTGCATGTGTGAGCCTGTCCATTTTCTGCTCAAACTCTGTCTCCTGTGACATTGTCCAGGCTGTTTCTGTGACTAGGTTTGGAATCTCCACTTGCTCTTACTTCAACCACACCATGATTTTCACCTTGAGGGAGGTAGGTCAGTCAGTATCTTTGTCATCCTCCCTGTTAAAATGATCCAGAGCAGAAGACTTTTCTTCCATCCTTATGTTAGCAGCAGATTGGTTATTTATTTCACAATCTATATTAAAGTTAATAATCTTTATAAATAAAAGTAATCTTTATAACTTTCCATCTTTGTTACTAGCTCCACACTGTGTAATTGAGCTGCTATTTATTTCATTTCAGCTACTGATTCTTTGATATTTATGGATCCT